TTCAACAGCTGGTTTCAAAATATAATCGCCATCTAAAGCAGGAAAATAAAAAGCAATTTGATGAAATCACCTCTCCTGTTTTAGATTCAGGTATCTAAAAATAGATAACAGCCAAATTTGGTTMGTGCAGATCACTTATAATCTGATAACAATGTTTCTTAAGCCTTATCTGCCTTTAATTATATAGATTTAGGTCTCATTGTGCGAAACACAAAAGGCCCAAATGAATAACCTGAAAGGACGTCACGGAGGCTGGCAGACACAGAAACACGGCGCGTTGCTAGGATCCAAACACGGCATCATCAACGCATCGGCGGATCCTCCGACAACATAATCTTTATCAAAAACAAATTGGTTGATTGAACGCATCAAAYGAAACATGTGGGACTCTAATATGACCATGAGAAATTGGGTTTAACCGGCTGGAAAGACTCAATCTTCATCTTCTGATCAGGAAAGGAGAAAGCCTGATCACTAAAAAAAATCATTAGGGACGTTTGCATCATATCGTGTTCAGGTTTATTTTTAAATTTTCTGAACGAGCTTTTATTTTGAAAATGTGTGGCTGATTTTAACAGACCGTAACAGGGTGAAGAATCATTTTGTAATTTGTAACTTCCTCTTGACCAGGTCGTCACTGTAAATGAGAATTGGTTCTGAACTGACTCACCTGTTAAAATAAGGTTCATTYTCTTCCTGATTCTTGGCCTCACCATGAACATGCTTGGCAACCAGCCGAGACGCCAATTAGTGGACAGAATAACCGTTAGCATCATTTCCACTTTTCATACGACGCTAAGCTAACCAGCAACTGTCATTTTCTTATTTTAGCTTTATTCACAGTTTTTGTTCCCATTTTTAGTTAGCATTTTGTTTTTGTATGGAAAAAAAGGTTGACGCAAGAATTTTTGAAGAAAAACTTTCAGACATGTAAAAAAAAGACAATAAATGCACAACAAGATGATCTTTTTATTGAAAACTGGGTGGATTTAAAGTCTTAGGATAAGGTTAAGTTTTTTTCTTACACTTTCCAGGCAGAATTGTAAAATAACTCCAAGTGAATACTTTGTTACTCTACTTAWGTAGAAGTTTGGGTATCTGTACTTTACTTTAATAATTATTTTTCAGCCTACTTTTTACTTCTACTCCTTACATTTTTACACAATTATCTGTACTTTGTACCCCTTACATTTTTAAAAGGGTAAGGAGTAGAAAGTATATAAGCATATTTATATGAGAAGTATAAATATATATATCATTCTGACACCGTATAAGTTTGTACACAATCCATTACAGCTGCACATCTTTAAAAAATATTTTTGGAGAGGTCAACTCACAATAAATGTCATTTTGGAAAATCTAACCACAAGCTTTTACTCAATACTTTTACTTTTAATACTTAAGTACATTTTATGTCAGAAATTTACTTTTGATACTTAAGTACAAAAAAAATTAGATACTTTAAGACTTCTTAGAGAAGACTTTAACTTTTACCAAAGTAATTTTATGATAAGATTCTTGTACTTTTACTCAAGTATCACTTTAAAGTACTTTATACAACACTGTTTCCAGGCTTCCATCTCATTTGTTTATCTCTTTATTTTCCTTAAAGATGTTTTTATAGGTGTTTTTACACAATGAAAATATCTATATATTATCCATCCATCCATTATCTGTACCCGCTTATTCCTTTCAGGGTCGCGGGGGTCCATATCCAGCAGTCACAGTGTGAGGGGCGGGGTACACCCTGGACAGGTCCATCTACATACTATTATGTTTGTAAATCTAATTGCAAAAAAGTCTCTGAAACCATCGGATGAATAAAAAGCTTCTAATAATTATAAATGAACTGGTTCTGRCTGCTGTGATACCTGAGTTTGTGTGAAGATCTGGGCTTTCTGACACTCCTCCAGGCTCGAGGCGAAACTGGCCATGACGTTTTCCTCCGTTCCGATCATCTGCACTATTTCCTGGTCGCTCTCTACACCCATGCCCTGCGTGGGTCACATGTAAACACGAGGAGAAGGTGAGAACTTCTCTGAAATACAACATTCATGTAACCACATGAGGCCCTCACATACATCATCAGACTACAATAGGAGCCGAAACAAGGAGACGTGAGGAGGTGAAGTGTGTTCAGCGGGTCGGAGAGGCTGAAGGCTGTGTGACATTTGCTTATGGAAATGTGAAGCTTTGGGAACCGATGCGTCGGGGCCCCCGCCGTGGATATGAGGTCGTCTCCGCAGCCGCCACCAAACATGGCAAGAGGCGGGGAAGAAGCCAATCGGGGGCGAATGAGTGCTCGGCAAACGGTGGATTCTGACACTCGGTGCTCATAAGGTAACATTTTTAAAGAGATTTTCCCCCAGAGGTGATGGGAGATCATGCTGCCAGCTGTCCAAGTGACATTTTCACAGAGTTTAACTGACTGATCAAACCTCCATTCATTAGGTTTGTATGTAATTCAAAGCTACAATATGAGGAGAAACAAACTTTAAATAAAAATGTTTTTTTCAGACACCATCTTATTGTGTTGTGGCGCCACCTACTGGACACAGAAACCTCCTTCACCTTGAAAATGATGGCAATGGGAGCATCTTCAGACAGCGTGTTGTGTCTCAGGTAGAAGCGGCCCTGCTTCACAATAAGGTTTGTTCTGCTTTTCTTCTCATGAGTGGAGCTGAAAATAAATAAAATAAAAGCAAAACCTTCAAAAACGGTGGAAACTCTGGAGTCTCTGCTTTTAGAAGACTCTGTCGTTTTAATTGTACCTGGTCACCGAGGCTCCAACAGCACCTTTCCTGTCCTGGTCCACGATGATACGATTCTTGGACAGCTGTTCCTGGATCAGAATGACTTTCTCCTGACCTTTCACAATAAAATAACCCCCTGAAAATTAAAACAAAAGAATTAAACATAAGCACAATAAAAGAGTTAAGTTTAGGTCCGTTTTAAATGGACGAGTTCTGACCTGGYTCCAGAGGACATTCGTTTAGTTTGGAAAACTCCATGGCTGTCTTCCCTGTGAGGACACAGTTTGAGCTTCGCAGCATGATTGGCATCCTGGCAAGAGTGGAGGTGAATGTTAACAATACAACTGTTTCTGWACAACACAAAGTCGTTAGGAGATGGAGTTTTTTTATTTTATTTCAGCAGATAAAAACCCCTTCAGATACTAAGGATTCGTTTAAAGCTGTAAATTTAATCTGAATGTTATATAAACAATTAAAAACCTTCCAATAGGCAGGGCGTTTCGAATGATTCTCTGACTGCCACGTGTGTACTCGATGTCCACTGTGATGGGTGCCGAGTAGGTCATGTCTCTGAGCCGACACTGAGGGAAACAAGAAACATCTCATCTTCTTTAAAACCTTCTATTTCATTACAATTATCAAATTACCCATCCATCAGAAATACAAAAACATCTAATTTATTCTCAAATAATAAAAAGTTTCTGATCACTTGATTTTTCWATTTAGTTCCCTTAGTTTAGACTGAGCTCACCTCATGAGGAGAAACCGGTCTGGTTACGTTAAAGCTTTCTTCAACATCGGGCATCCCGACATAGATGTTGAGGTATCTGCACAGAAACCATTTTGTTCCTTAACTCTAACAATGAAAAGGTACGGTGAGCGTTTCATTACGGATCACTTACTTCAGGTACCACATTGGATCAGCATCACTTGTGATTTTCTCATTGGCTTTCATAATCTTTTTTATCTAAAAAATAAATAAAGAAGACATTCATGCTGAACTAACAGCTGAGACAGATGTGGTAAAAACACTCATGTTGGYTTTTAGTTTTACCTCAACGTTGATGAAATAGTTGAAGGAGTCGATGTGCTGCTTTACCAAACCTTTCACCTATAAATATAAAACCAACAACTCTTAATCTGTGCCAGCTCAAGATAACTTCCAGACTAAAAGTGTGCTTTTATCATATTTAAAATAGTGTGATATAAATTAGACTTTTCAGAGTAAACTGTTTGGGCTAAAGTGGTTCTAAATTATTTATTTCAACTCAAATCAGGGCTGCAYGTGCAAATCGTATTAAATTTTATCCCAGTCGCTAAAACTGTTTATTATATAAAAATTACCAGTACATATAGAATGAGAAACCTGTAAATCAAATAATAAGATAAGAAAAAGGGCTGAAGTGGCCTAAGTGTTGCTCAGCGTTACCTTCAGGAATGCTGGTAACAACTTCCATTTTTCCTGTTAAAATGAAAAACAAATTAAGTTTCTCTCAGTAAACAGTTTGTCTCACGACCATTTTATTTGTTGARTTAAAAGATCTAAGCTTATGTTGCTTCTTTCTTTGAATTAAATCAGTCAAACCACCACAACAAACTGCAGCTTTAGCCTCGGAGATGACGACTGTTCCGTGGACTACAAACTCTTTTATCCCACAGTCAWTAAACTCACCGCCACAGTGTTGACAGGAGCCGCGAGCTCCTGAGCGTTTAAATCTCCAAACTCTCCTCCTAGCACCTCCATAGCTAACGCTGCGGTTCAGCCGTAAACAATTAAACACATAAATAATGTTAGTGTTGATTCAGAGCGCAGGAAGTGTCTGCAACATGCGTCCCGACTTCGTGTTTCATTGTAAAATCTTCCCCCTACTAGTAGGACGGAACTAAAAAGAAACGTTCCGTTTGAAGAAAAGTCTTCCTCGTTTTTGCTTTCCCGTCAGTCTCAGTGCTGTTTGTGGAACGTCTGCCCCCTGGTGTTGAAACAGCGTAACTGGTACTCATGGCTTTTGTACTGCAGGGCCTTCAAAATAAAATAAAATAAAATAAAATAAAATAAAATAAAATAAAATAAAATAAAATAAAATAAAATAAAATAAAATAAAATGGGGAATCTGTAAAAGAAGAGTTTGAAACAAACGGCAACATTGACAACAAAAATTTCACATTAAAGGCGGGGGGCGGGAACAGGAGTCAGTGAACAAAAAAAGAATATGGGTCCTTAATAATAACTTTCTTAAAACGACCATGTTGTTCAGTTAATAGTTTTATTTTGACATAAAAACATTTTAAAAAATGTGAATTTTTACTGTATTAGTTTRACACTTTGGAGGGATTTTTCAGCAGCACCTGTACAAGTAAGTTAATAAACAGTATGCTGATAAAAACAATTTTTTTTAGTTTTATATGTGCCTTCAAACAAAGATGTGGGTCACGTTGTACGGAGTGTGGATGGAGTCAGTGTGAGGGRGGCCTGACGTGTCTGCTGTTGCTGCTCAGCAGTTTGGGGTACGCCGTCCCAAGAGAGCGACCCTGCCTGATGACCACCAGCTCCACCTGGCACTGGTCGATGTTCACCAGCACTGTGGAGCTCCTCTCTGTGCTCATGAGGAAGATGACGGTGAACAGGGCCATCTCAAACTCGGGGCTGGTCCCGATGAAGGCGCTGCCGACGGGRTTCACCAGATTGTGCCAGCTGAACTGCAGGTTCAGAACGTGGTCGTCCTGATCGGGCTGCAGGTGGAGGCAGAGATGAGTTAAACAAAACAGCTGGTGTTGAAGGAAAAACTTCTTTAAAAAAAAAAAGATGGACTCACCAAGTCGTGGTCTCTGGCTTTGTACCCTTTGTAGTCCAGGTGGTTGTTCTTCTCTTGCAGGTAGAACTGAATCCAGTTGTGAAAGCCGATTATTTCTGTTCCGGACTTGGTTTCACCAACAAAGACATGTTCGAATCCACAGGAGTCCATGCTGTCACACAAACAAGAGCTGTGTCACTGTTCTCACAGTCTAAAATACATAAAGACCTGGCAGAGTTTGTTAGGAATGACTCTCAGCTACTACAACACCAAATTTAAGCRCAARATCTGTAAAGTCCACTGAATAGAGGCCATTTTTAGGAGCCGTTTAAGGTCAYTTTTTAATATTTTTGGCGAACATCTTTAATCAGGTTGACTCCAAATGTTAAACATTAACGATGCTTGAAATGTGGGGGAAACAAAGTGCAAGAGCATTGACTTAAACTGAGTAAACCTCAAGATAAACATTTTGACACACAGTTCCTGGCAGGTTTTCTTACCCGCTGTTTCTCTGCCGGCGGTAAAGGTGGAACCAGATCAAGTTGAGCTGGTTCTTGAACAGCCTCAGATCAGAGCTGGACTGTCTTTTGCTCACCAGGTACTGATGAGCTCGCTGAAATAACAACCGTCYGCTCAGATCACGCTTCACAAATTTACTTCAGTCGTGTTAAAACAGGTTAATTGTTGCACATTTGACTCATTTTTAAACAAAACACAGCTTTATGTACGTTTCATATCTGCCTTTCGTATTTTCAAACGTTTTCCCGTCAGGACAACAAGAACTGAACGTCCACATTTTTTCCAGGGATCCCCCCTCTGAGGCCAACACCACATTCCACAGCTGCACACAGATGTTGCAGCTGCTTRACTGTTTTCCTCTCAAACATCACAGTGTTCAGTTTGTGCAGAATGCACAGAAATTAAAGGAGCTTTAAAGCTCAATAAGACATTTCAATYCAAAATAAACAGTTTATGCAGCACAAACTAGTTGTAACACGTCAGACACACCTTCATGACGTCAGTCTGCAGAACAGCATCCAGGAACAAACTGATTTCTGTCAGCTCCTCTGAGGTGACTCGCTCTGAGACCCCTGTAGACCGCTCGTAGTTGTCCAGGAGAGTCATGAACCCTGGCAGGACAAAAAAAAAAGAAACACATTAATAAGAAATAAAACAAACTCTAAATGATTTACTTCATGATTCTGACACTGACGAGAGAAGGTGGTGGAGTTTCTCAGTTTGATCTCGTCCACACTGGAGAAGAGAGGCAGAGAGGCGTGATCCTGAACCAGGAGGCTGCCGGGGCTCACAAACCCTGCTCTGCCCTGGACAGGTCACAACATCCACACACGCATTTTCAAATCAAACACCAGAAAAGTGTTGCCCCAGGAAAGAGAGAGAGAGAGAAAAATGGCTCCTCACTTGGACAGAGATGTTGTAATCCGCCCCAGGCTTCATTCGATTCCCATCCAGCCTCCAGAGCTCGTTGAAAAGGTTGGATAACTCCTGGTTTACAGCCGGTCTGTTACTGACAGAAACAAGCACACAAAGCTGACAAACATTCACACAAATACATGAAAAAATGTACTTTTTATGTAGTACCTGTATGCATCCAGTCCATAGAGAAATACTATGAGCAGGGCTCCACAGAGTCTGTAAGTCACACACAAAACAAGTTTTCTGTCAATAATCTGATTCAAAATCAGAATTAAAACTTAGAAAMTTAGTTTTCAGACCTTGCAGCCATGATCCCAGAAAGCCTTCAAGTGTCAACAGAACCCTGGGTCCAGGGTTCTTACATAAGCCCAGTCTCCACCCAGCTCTTTATGTTCTGCTGGAGTTGGACCAAAAACAGTGGAGTCGGGTTGGAGTTTATGTTTCGGCCACCAGGGGGCGCTTTGTTTCAGGATCTGAATCCACAGCCAGAGAACATCAACACTGTCCTTATACCAAAACAAATCATGTCCAAAGGTCTAAATGAAATGTTTGTAGTTAAACTTTAAAACAGAATTAAACACTTTGATTAAACTGATACAAWTTCTAATCAATAACCCCCAAAACACAGTGTTTGTCATCTGTTGCTTTTGTCTGTTAACAAAATATCTCATGAACCACTGGACTGATTTCAACGACTCTTGCAGAAAACAATCATTAAATAWTCTTCTACAACTGATTAACCTTTGGAGCCATCTTGATTTAAGATGGCCGTCGCAGCTAACTGATGTTAAGAAACATGAAAATGGAGATAACCTGTTTAATTTTGCTAATATTGACCTCAATTTTAGTGCGGTAGTAGTCGAGACTGTTTTCCAACATACATGCTGATGAAGCTTGTTGGAAACTTTTGTCATCAACTATTTGAAGCCCACTTTGCCTGTTAGCAAAATATCTCATGAACCACTGACTGGATTTTAATGAAACGTTTAGTAAATAATCATTAAATGTTTATCTACATCTGATTAACTTTTGGATTCATGCCTGTTAAAGATGGCTGCCACAGCTACACATTAGCAAACAAATACAACTATTATACTGTCTATAAAAGACAGAATAGCTGTCAACACTTGATATTTCCATTTAAAATATGAAGAAAATATTTGAAAGTCAAACTTTTAGCACAATTTTGCACAATTCAAATTAAATATTTTGAAAGAAACCGTATTTGACAGCAAGTATGGCTTTAAAGTAACCCATCATCAGGATTTAAATTTTTACAAGTCAATTAGAAAAATGAAAGAGTCGAACAAAATGATTAAAAAAACATAAAACTAACAAGAATAAAACTGAAAATTCACTTTACAATCAAGTTTCTAAAGTTTGTTCAAAGAAAACTCCAATTTGACTTAAATTACTTTATTGATCTTTAGAGTTTAAAAACAATCATATTTAGAGATACAGTCAATTCCAGCAATATTATAAAAAAAAAAAACGTAAACTCACATTATCTTACCTCAGTCTGACACATTTTCTTAAAAATATAGAAATGCAAACAGGTTTCCAAAAATCCTTCTAGGACAAAAAACATAACATTAAAATATGCAGAATTCTGACACCATGCAATGATATTTATTGTTTTTTTTAGTGTGAATACGTGGAAATGCAGGAGTACAAGTGACATCTTCAAAGGATAAAAATATAAAACCATTATTATTTAATCAGCCGGGTTTAGGTGAGTAGAAAAACATAGCAGCTGTTTTAGAATTAAACTAAATTAAAAAAGAATATTACTTCTATAAAGTCCTGTGGTTCTGTGAAGTCGGTGCCTTTCTTCAGATTCCTCCACAATGTCATATATATATATATATTAAATCTATGTTGGCATTTTGCTGCTGGTTGGCACTTTAGTTCTGTCAGAACCAGAACAGCGTCTAAAAGGTCTCCAGAAACCAGCTGGCGGGCGAACAGAACAGTGGTGTTCCCTCTAACAGACGACCATCGACTCAGACAAAAACTAACTCAAATACTTTTGGCTCTTTTTTTTTGAACGCGAACACTAAAAGGAGACGTGTCTGCTGTGAGCGGAGAGAGCTGGCYGGACCGGTTCTGAGGCCGACCGTCTCACGCGTTGGACTCCTCGTCGGTGACGCTCGGGTTGGGTGAGTCGGACGTCTCTTTGAAGAACTCGTCGTCTTTCAGCATGCTCTGAAAACACAAAGACGACAACATGAAGCCCTGGGATCAATCATGAGCTCTGCTCTGGTTTTTATTCTTACTGTGAGGTTCTGGATTCCCTCGGAAAACGCTCCGATCTGTCTCACCGTCCCCTCAGAGTCCTCCATCTGGAGAGAGAGAGAGACGCTGATCAGACTTCTTAAATAAATTTAAAAATCATTATCCACGCAATGTATTCTCTGTCCACGTGACACAAAGTTCTCTTTCTGTCCACATTTTGTGGGTCAGGATCACCTGCTCCAGCCGGTCCAGGTCGTCCTCATAGATCTGGAGCTCAAACCCTTTCTGGAAGCTTCGGCCCTTTGGCATCTCCACGTCCATCGGACACACGTACTCCTCGTTCTCCTCCTGCTTTTTCTTCCTCAGATTCCCAAAGTTACCAAAGGACAGTTTCCTCGGCTGGTTTCATAAAAAAAATAAAGAAAAAAATATTTATTT